CCTTCATTTCCTATTTTCTTTTCTTTTGTTGCATTTTATACAATAAAAAAAGAAGTTTGCAAAAGGGGAATCATGTGAAACTGTCATAAATATGAGTCAGTTGCCAAGCAGCCAAATTTGGATCATGTGACCACATGGGGACGGTGCAACCATTGTAAGTGTGAAAAATGGTCACAAGAGACTTTTTTTTTCAGTGCCGTTGTACTTTGAACGGTCACTAAACCAATAGGTTGTAACTCGAGGCCTACCTGTAACCATAGAACCTCCAAATGTCATTGAGCTGCCAGCTTTCTTAGGTGGAGGATCAACTGTATTTGTCAGCAGTGATGTTATAATTACTTTTTTTCCTTATTCTGCTGGTTTTAACTACTTATGATGGGGCGTCCATCACTGGAGGTTTTTAAGAAGAGACTGGACACTTGTCAGAGATGGTATAGGTTCTCCTGCTTAAGCAGGGGGCTGGACTGGAAGACCTCCAAGGTCCCTTCCAATTCTATCCTATCCTATTCTCAGATTTAACAGAATTCAAAAGGGTTTGGTTGTAGACCATTTGTGGGAATGCAATGGCTCGCCACCAAAAGTTCTGGGTGCTTCATCACTGGACATTTCTAAGAAAAGACTGGACAGTCACCTGTCTGGAATGGCATTGGTCTCCTGCTTGAGCAGGGGGCTGGACTAGAAGACCTCCAAGGTCCCTTCCAACTCTGTTATTCTATTCTATTCTATTCTATTCTATTCTATTCTATTCTATTCTATTCTATTCTAATTCTAATTCTATTCTATTCTCTATTCTACTCTACTCTGTTACCAATGGAACAGCTTGCCTCTAGAAGTTGTTGGTGCTTCATCACTGGAGGCTTTTAAGAAAAGACTGGACAGCCATCTGTCAGAAATTGTATAGGGTTTCCTCTTTGAGCAGGGGGTTGGTCTAGAGGACCTCTAAGGTCCCTCCCAGGAACTGGGCTTGGCTAGTCTAGGGAAGAGAAGGACCAGGGGAGACGGAATAGTATCTTCCAATATTTGAGGTGCTGCCACAGGGAGGAGGAAGGGGCTAATCTATTCTCCGAAGCACCCGATGGCCAGACAAGGAATAATGGATGGAAACTAACCAAGGAGAAATTCAACCTGGAAATAAGGAGGAATTTCCTGACAGAACAATCAACCAATGGAACAGAAGTTGCCTCAGAAGTTGTGGGAGCTTCATCCCTGGAGGCTTTCAAGACGAGACTGGGCTGCTATCTGTCAGAAATGGTGTAGGGTCTCCTGTTTAGGTGGGGGGTGGGACTAGATGATCTACAAGGTCCCTTCCAACTCTAATTATCTGTAAATCTCTATTCTGACTGACTGACAGTTCCCAGAGGCCTCTCTTCCAATTCTCTCTCTCTCTCTCTCCAACCTTGTTCTCAGTTTTCCGTGATTCAGCACAGATTAAGTCAGCCCATGAAAGCCAAAAAGAAAAGTTAGACAGCCACCATTGTGAGTGAGGGACCATGGAATGGGCGCCAGAGCCATTCTCCCCACACCCCAGGGAAAAGCCAGGCAGGCTCCTGGTTCCACCGTAACTCCCAAAATAGGGAAAGGGCTGCACTAGCAGGGAAACAAATAGCAAACACAGAAGTAAGAGCTCCTGTGCTAAGATGACTGTAAACTGTCACAGAAGTTAGTTAAAATTATTTCTCTTCCTTATCTACCTACCTATCTTCCTTTTTCTTTTTTTCTTTTTTTCTTTTCTTTTCTTTTCTTTTCTTTTCTTTTCTTTTCTTCTTCTCCTCTCCTCTCCTCTCCTCTTCTCTTCTTTTCCTTTCCTTTCCCTTTCTTTCTTTCTTTCTTTTTCTTTTTCTTTCTCTCTTTCTTTCTCTTTGTTCCTTTCCTTCCTTCCCTTCCTGTTTCCCCTTTCAACTTTCTCCTTCCTTCCCTTCTCTAAGTGAAAACAAATGAGCCAACAAACACAATTCTAAATCTTCGCATTTAGATTATCTCTGAAGTGAGTCATTCCCCTTGTTGTCTCACACTTTCTCAGGAATGTAAATAGCCCCCACCTCCCTTGTTAACCAAAACTCCAGGTTCAATTGGCCCAAAGCAACAAACGGGGCTGAAGAGATCAGGAATAGTTTCCTTCCAAAATTAGCTTCTTCTCATGATTTCAGGGGGTTCCTTTTGCAATCACAATTCCTGGCAAAACCTTTAGGATGAAAGAACTGGATCGAAGGTGCTACCTCATTTAAATCTTTCACGCCATCCCACAAAAATTGGGAAATTCAGATTAACCAGAATAACTGCATATGTTAATGAATATTCTGGGAAAAATAATATATCTGATGAAGGGAAAGAGATCTATTTTGCTTTTAAAAGTTAGAAAAGGACAATCTGCATTTCAACAGACTTCAGACATGCTGGTCCCATTTTCTGCCTTGTGAAATGGGGAAATCCTGTTTCTACTTTTGTTCTATTTTCTCTACGTATTATCACACATTTCCACTTGACTTCTAACTTTTTGGCTCCAGGTCACCAGCCGCTAATCTTCCAACTGTTTCTATGCTCCAGCCATCTTGCTTTAACGGCAGTAAATACCAGTTTCATTGGTCCTCAGGTATTTTATTCTTGCTTTTTTATATTGTCATTACAGTAATAGCTACTGTGCAATGCTTGCTTACTGGAGGCTACCACATAAGTTATTTACAATTATTTCTCTGTCATCTGTTTTGAGATCTTTCTTTTTCTTTCTTTTCCTTTCTTTTATCTCTCTTGTTCACTGCCCATCTCTGCAAATGACTTGTCTTTCTTTCTCTTTCTTTCTTTTCCTTCCTTCCTATCTTTCTTCCTGCTCCTTTCTTCTTTTCCTTTCTTTCTTCTCTCTCTCTTTCTTGTTCTCTATTCCTATCTCATTTCTGTTTTCTTTATTTTCTCTCTTTTTCTCTTTATGCTATTTGTCTCTTTCTTTCTTTCTCTCTTTCTCTCTCTCTTTCTTTCTTTCTCCTTCTCACACTCTTTGTCTCTCTTTGCCTCTTTGCCTTTGTTTCTTTTTTTCCCTTTCTTTCCCTTCATCTGTTTCTCTTCTTTTCTATCTCACTTTCCCTTTGTTTCTTTCCCTCTCTTTCCTTTATTTCTGATTACCATCAACAACAACAGAAAAACAGTCAGAGACCAACCACAGCTTCCTCTCTCTTCCCTTAGTTACTTGACATAAATATTCCTGCGATACTAAACCAGACAGAGTTTTAAAGAAATCCATCCACTCTCTGGTGCTGTTTTCCAGATTTTGGTCAGAAACTGTCCTTAACTGCCTTTGAAAAAGGGAACCCCGAGATCCTAAACCCCCCTTCTGTCCCTAGCAGCAGGAAGCATAACTAGGGCCAGGTCAGGCAGGGCTGGAAGGGGGGGGGTCCGTGTGCTCACCTTTCCAGAAAAACCTGGGTGTGGCTTGAAAGAACAACAGAAACATGATGCGGCTTGTTCTTTCAACTATTCTTTTCCAAGAGAGAAAAATGACTCAAAAGTGCCCAGCAACTTTTCGTGCTTTCGCTTCGAGCTAGTTGGTGGATTTATATGTTTTGTTCACCCACGCCGTCCCACAGGACCCAGCCCTGAAACTACCCCTCCCTCGGCCAAAGGTCTGCCAGGCACTCACCTTTCGAAATCTTTTAATATTTTTTCCCCTGCAAACAGGAATCTGCCAAAGAGATCCCAAGTCTGAGGGCTGGGCTGGTGAGCATGAATTTGAACACAATCAAACGGTTTGCCCATTACAGTTTGCCAACTAAGTTGGCACCTCTAGGCAGAGCCCGGCTTAGCTTGAACCCTGGGTTGGTTTAGAAGGGGAATTGGGGGTCTATGATTTGGATACAAAGCTAGTTTCTCAATATTTTTAAGGAAAACAAAGGTCAGTTGACTCAATACACTAAAACAGACCTCTCCAAACGTGGCAACTTTAAGACATGTGGACTTCAACTCCCAAAATTCTCTGGCTGGAGAATTCTGGGAGTTGAAGTCCACAAGTCTTAAAGTTGCCAAGTTTGGAGAGCTCTGTCTTAGATGGAGACTTTGGGAAAAGTTGCCAGAAAAAGAAGCAACAGCAGAGGATTGTAAAAAGCAATTAAAAGATTTTTTTGGGGGGTGGGGGGGAAAATTTAGGTAAGGCACTGGTTTGGGAAGCAAGTAAAGCCTTGAAGTAAACCCAGACTGTTGTAGGGTCTCCTGCCTGAGCTGGGGGCTGTACTAAAAGACCCCTAGGGTCCCTTCCAAACTTATTATTCTATGTGCTTTATTAGAGGTTCATTTTATATGACATACTCGTGAACCCTAAAAAGAAAAGAAGAGTTGAAAGTTTAAGGAGTTTTTCACAATCTTGACCGCTCTAAAGATGGGTGGACTTCAACTCCCAGAATTCATGCCGCTAGCAAAGAATGGCACGGTTGCCAAACAGGGGTTTACAGCATTGTATGAACTCAACCAACTGCCTTCGTTACTTCCTCCTTGGTTAAACAAACCATGGCGTAACTTCAAGCGTAAACCCAGCTTCTCCTTTCAGAAACCAACATTAAAAACAGTAGCCAAGCAGGAGAGTGGGGAAGAGAGAAATCTTGGTCCTTTGAAAAGGAGCCTCCTTCCCCAGTCAAACGGTAGCTGGTGTCGCCCTCGCCCCCCTCCCCAAAAGGAATTATAGGGTCTAGTATAGGGTTGGACTAGATCCTCCAAGGTCCTTTCCAGCTCTATTCTGATTGATTGGGTAACTTTTAAAACCTCCGGGAAAGGGGGTTCCGATCGAGAGAGCCAATGCGGTGGAATAAAAGGCGATAATGGGGGGTTGCAGGCATCGGAGAAACACGGGATGGGGGTTACTCGGCGCTTAGTCACCCCAATTCTCCGCCGTGGTCCCCAATTCTTAGTGGGTTTGTTTTTCCCCACTGGGGAGATCCCGAAGTGAGGGGGATTCCCGCCAGCCCAGCGCTTGAACCCGTGTCTGCCATCCTCCACCCACCCTCGATGCCCCCCTTCCTTACCCCAACCTGCGAAGAAGAGGCACCCCCAGAGCCAGCCGTGCGCCGCCATCACCGCTTCTCTGGCGCTGCCCCGCTGCCGAGGTGCGCAGGTGAGCGCAGGCGGGTCCGCTCATTGGCCGCGCCGCCCGCCCATCACCGCCCCTGCCCAGGTGAGGCCCCCGCCGGCTCCTCCTCCGGCTAGGGAGGCCGGTGTCGTCCTGGAGGGCTCTCTCTAGAGCTGGGGGAAGCGGCCCAACCTTCCCCGGAGGCAGCTGCGAAGGAGCCGGGCTCCTCTGGGCGTCGCTACCCCGGTTGGATTTCGGTCCAAAATTCCCCCGGCCCCGATTGGTGGACGGACGGACGGACGGCGGCTTCTTCTTCTTTTTTTTGGAAAGTTTTATTTGGGTTTTCACAAAAACAAAATACAAATAAAACATCTTTTTTGAAAATAGCATGGTCCCAGGTTATCACTTCTTCATACAGACACCAAACTCAATTTCATGCTCATTTTTATATTCTATTCCATATCTTATTACCGTTTTATATTTTCTACATAGTTTTTCCCCTCTTTTAATTTTCTCAACTTTATTTTAATTATCTCATCTCAATCAAATCATTATATTTATACTTTTGTCTGTCCTGTTTCAATTTCATATTATCTTTTCTTATTAAACAAATTTTTCCCTGTAGTTACCAATTGGAGTATGACACCTTTATGTCTTTTAATTTTATCCATTCAAACTCTTATTTAAGCTTCAGTGTATACCTTTAAGATTATAGCATTCAATATAATACATAACTTCCAATCGAATTCTGCTTGGTACATTCTTAAAATACACACTATATTCTTAAAAAGAAAAAATTATATATGTAAATAAAGCACACATTCCATTCCAATATAATTCTATCATTAATATTCATTAAAATCTTAACATATTTAACATTTCTTTTCAATTAAATATCATACTTCCTTGGGGACACTTATAAACTTTCCATAGTTAATTCTTTTTTTCCGTATTTCTCACTTATATTTTTATAAATCATTACTAATAATTAAAAATGTTCCCATTTAATTCTCTCAATCATTTTAATTCATTTATTTATTACCAAACATTCAACTACATTACAATAAATATTTTATCCATCATTTTTATCATATTTTCTAAAATTATTTCTGTTTACAATATAACAATGCTATCTTATGTACCTTTGCAGAATCCCTTTTGCAATTAAATTTTCACCCATTATCTCTAAACAAGCTTATGGTTACAATCCTTATATCTTTTCCCTGTTTCTCCATTTCTTGTTTCTGTCTTTTACAACTTCTTTTCCTTGCCTTCTTCCCCCTCTTCTTCTCCCTCCCCCTTTTACCCGCTCGTCTCTCTACTTCTAACTCTCTCATCTGTAATCCCCCCTTCTGTTGCTTTCTAATATTATACTTATGTTTCAAATTGTTCTTCTTTTTGGTTGTTTTTTCTAGTCTTAAACCTTTCACTCTCTTTCCCCCCTTTTCTTCCCCCCCACCACTTAAAATTATTTGATCATTAAAGATGGCTTCTTCTTTGTCCCAATCTTCTTGTTCTGCAAGCCTTTCTTGTTGTTTCTCATAGTTCCAGATCTCCATTTCTAAGAATTGAAATACGAAGCCAAAAGAACCTCTCCCTTCTTGTGCATCTTCTTTCCATTTTTTAAGTTCTGTTTTCAGTTCTTCTAAGAGTGATACCATTTTAAAAACTTTTAAACAACCACTCGGTTAATTTTAGTCATCCAGATGCAAAAACCAAAAATCACCAAGTAATCCAAATAATCCAAGGCTGTTTCTTTCTGCTTCTTTTTTCCACTTTCTCTTCCTGGGGTTCTATTACTTTGTTACCAAGTTTCAATTAAGATGTATCTTTGAGGAATCTTGTTGAAATTTCACTGTAAGTTCTTTTTAGTTACAGTTCCATTCCTTAGTTCCAGGCAGTCTCCTCCATTTTTTCCAGATCCTGCCCTTTTATTCTTTTTTTCCTTCTTTCCTGCTTTTAAAAACTTTTAAATATCCAGAAATCTTTATTATCCCTTTGACTTTTATTTTCAGCTTAGATGCCTATTAATGTCAAAATGGATTTTTTTCAATTTCTTGCTTAAGTCTCTTAGCTGTCAGTATAAGGAAGGGAAGAAAAAAAAACCTAATCCTTTCCCTTCTCTCTCTCTTTCGCAGCTTCAAAATCTTCTTTGGGAACAATGTTATTTAATTTAAATTCCAGGGTACCTTACGTTGTTGCTTTTGCTGTTTGACTCGGTCAGCCAAAACTTTCTCTTCTTATCTTCCTCCTGCACATTCTTTTCCGGTCAAGTTCTTCTTTGTGGTGGCCATTTCTGACCACCGCTAGAACTGCCTTCAGGAAAGGGAGTAATGGCCAGCTGAGGAGGAGAGATGCGGCTCTCCTCGACCCTGCAGGCAATCTCCCCCTTCTTCACCACCTCTATGGGGTGGCTTAGCCCCAAAACCAGCCGGCTCGGGGCGCTCCAGCGGTGAGCACGGATCGAAGTCTCACAGAGATGAGGCTTCGGTCTGTCACCGAAGAAGTTCAAACCGGAAGTCCGGACGGCGGCTTCTTGATGCTTCCTTTTCCCCCTTCGAACCTTAGAAACGGAGGCTCCGACAGGGGGCTTTAGAGGTTCTGTAGACCAACCCTGATCAAGCAGGAGCCCTTCTACCACCCTTCTCAAATGGCTGTTCAGTTTTCAGTTGTTGAATCATAGAATATCAGGCTTGGGAGGGACCTTGGAGGTCTTCCAGTCCGACCTCCTTGTTAAGGCAGGAGATTTTATTGCATCCAGGAAAAATGGCTGCCCCACCTTTTCTTAAAAACAACCAGTGATGGAGCCTGCCTGCCTGCCTCCCCCCCTCTCAAGCAGGAGACCTATCCCATCCTTTTTAAACCTCCAGTGATGAAGGACCCACAACTTATGATGGCAAGCTGTTCTTACAGGTTAATTGTCCTCAATTGTCAGGAAGTTTCTCCTTAATTACAGGTTGAATCTCTGATTAGTTTCCATCCATTGCTTCTCCTTTGTTTCTTGTCCTGCTCTCTGGTGCCTTGGAGAATAGCTTGACCCCTTCCTCCTCTCTGTGGCAGCCACTCAAATCTTGGAAGGCTGCTATCCTGTCTGCCCTGGTCCTTCTCTTCCCTAGACTAGCCAGGCCCGGTTCCTGCAAACGTTCATCATGTTTTAATACCCAGGTCTTTTATTGTCTTCATCAGAAGTTGTGGGAGCTTCATCACTGGAGACTTTCAAGAAAAGATTGGACTGCCATCTGTCAGAAACGATGCCATCTGTCCTGCTTGGGCAAGGGGGTTGGACTAGATGACCTATAAGGTCCCTTTCAACTCTGTTAATCTGTTAAATCTTTGTTGCTCTTCCCTGCACTCTTTCCAGGGTCTCAATATCTTTGTGTGTGTGTGTGTGTGTCAAAACAGTTCAAAAGGCAGGAGGAAGAACTTTGGCATAATCCAGCCTTGGGGTTGTTGAAATAGGAATGAGAGGCACCTGGCAAGCTTTCAAGGTTCTGTTGGACAATCAAGAGTTTTCTGACACCCTTTCTGTGCCTGTAGCTGCACCAGCTGAGCTTGGTGGATTGGTACATTAACAGAGGGATACAATCAAGATCAAGGGAGGTACTAATACCATTCTGTAAAGCCTGAGTAAGGCCATGCCTGGAGTACTGCATCCAGTTTTGGTCACCACACTATAAAAAAAGAGATTGAGGCTCTAGAAAAAGTGCAGGGAAGAGCAACAAGGATGAATAGAGGGCTGGAGGCTAAAACATACAATGACCGGTTGCAGGAACTGGGCCTGGCTAGTCTAGGGAAGAGAAGGACCAGGGGAGACAGGAGAGCATCTTCCAATATTTGAGGGGCTGCCCCAGAAAGAAAGGGGACAAACTATTTTCTAAAGCACCTGAAGGCCAGACAAGAAGCAATGGATGGAAACTGATCAAGGTAAAAGATTCAATCTGGAAATAAGGAGGAATTTCGTGACAGGGAGAGCAATCAATCCATGGAACAGAAGTTGCCTTCAGAAGTTGTGGGAACTTTATCACTTGAGGCCTTCAAGAAGAGAGCAGACTGCTATCTGTCAGAAATGGTGTTGGGTGGGGGGTTGGACTAGATGACCTCCCAGGTCCCTTCCAATCCTGTTAATCTGTAAAGTGTCTGTAAAGCTGAGGAGACCGCCTGGTGCCCCATACACGATTCTCAGATGCTTCAGCAACGGTGACACAAAGGGAGTGGAGACCGAAGGACTGGATTGTAATTTTAGTATAGATAGAGACCCCTGTGTAATTGACAGACTGGATTTTATCATATATTTTATCTGTTATTTATTCTAGAATTTTTAATTGTATTTACTGAGTGTTTTTATTTGCTCTGGTCTCTGGTCTATGACCGTAAAAAACTGAATTGAATTGACCCGGGTGGGGTTCAAAAGTCCCAGCAAACAATTTGCTGTCCAGTTGCTGGGAGGGTGTGGCCATGGTGGGCGTGGCCTACTGGTACTTCCAGGAGGGCTGTTTTTTGCCTTCCTGAGGGTCTGGAGGCCTCCCTTGGGCCTCTAGGAGGACGAAAATGGCCTCCTCTGGGCTCCAGAAATCCTACGGCAGCCAGAAACAGGCCTCTTTCCGGACTTCTGGAAGGCCCATTTCCCACCCTCCCAGAACCTCCACGCAGTTACCTGCATCAAAAATGAGCCGGGTGGAGAATCCGGGAGGGGCAGGCTGGGCAGGGCCAGCCTGTTGGTTGAAATACCGGTTCAGCGAACCAGATGAAAACTTAACATTCGGTTCGGCCAAACCAGCCCGAACCGGTCGAATCCCACCCCTGAATTGACTGTGGTCAGCCAGGTGGTATTGGCGAGGTTGGGGTTCAGAGACAAATGAGGGTGTGGCAGTCTCCCTTGATGGGCAGCTTCGCCCCTGAACTGCTGGACTTGTCACAGGGACTTTTTAAAATGTCTGTTGATAATAACTTCATGAGAATAAACTTACAAGAGGAACCTCGGTGGTGCAGTGGTCAGAGTGCACGACTTCCGCTGCCTGCCGGCTGCCTGCAATTGGCAGATCGAATCCCACCAGGCTCAAGGTGT